CTGATCCAAATCCAAGGACACAAGTGGAAATTCCTGCTGCTGAGCTGCCAAGGGGTTCCACTCACGAGATGTTTCTTCCCTTCATTTAATTTTCCTCCCTGCAGCAGGAAAACCAGGAATTCTGACATGGCCAATATCCAGGTTTCCTCTTCCTTCCTTCTGATGGGAGATTTGCTTTCCAAGGCCCTTAAACTGAGGCTGTGGATCCTGAATTTGGCACAGGAATTTGGTCAGGAGGGATATTTTTGACTCCTGCATGTGGACAGAGGGGGTATTTGTAAGACAGATTTGCCTGAATTAAACATGATTTGAGGGTTAGGGGTAGGAGAAGGGGTAGTATTTGTAAAACAGATTTGTGTGAATTAAACATGATTTGAGGGGTTCTCTAGGATTAGGGTTAAGTTTAGGGTTAGTATTTGTATACCAGATTTGTGTGAATTAAACATGACAAACACCCCCTGGGGTGGGGTCAGTCCTCAATTGACATAAGAGCCCCCTCCCACAGATGGATCCTTCTGGAGGTTTCGTCTCACTGATAGAAATAAAAACTCAAATATCCTCAATTATTGACTTTGCTCTGAGTGTAAATTGGTCCTGTTGAAACTGGGGATTTTTCACTGGTTTCTTTACTGATATTTATTGACAAAATTCTAAGGGAAACTGCCCCAAAGTTTCCAGTTTATATAAAACCCTGGATGGTTTGGGTTGGAAGGGACCTTAAAGCCCATCCAGTGCCACCCCTGCCATGGGCAGGGACACCTCCCACTATTCCAGGTTGTTCCAACCTGGCCTTGGACACTTCCAGGGATCCAGGGGCAGCCACAGCTTCTCTGGGAAATCCATTCCAGCCCCTCCCCACCCTCACAAACAGGAATCCCTTCCCAATATCCCCCTAAATCTCTCCTATTTTGGTTTAAAACCATTCCCCTTGTGCCTCTCTCCCTGTTTTTCCCCATTCTTCAGGAAATTAAAAAAAAAAAGAAATTACTTTGTCACTTCTCATTTCCAATTTGAGCCCAGAAAGTGATGGGAATTTGGGCTCTTTTTCATCCTTTTTCACACCTTAACGTGCTTTCAAATGGTATTTTTTTTAGCAGTCTCTCACTTTCCTCTTTGATGCTTTCAAATGGTTTGGGTTTTTTTTAGCCAGTCCCTCACTTTGCTGTTTGATGGTGCCATGAATCACTGGGCAAACACTGAAAACATCTCTTTTTTTTGATGAAAACAATGATTTGGAAAGAAACTGGACTGGAAATGCCACTGTGAAGCAATTTTTTTTTTTTTGGTCTGGTTTGGTCCAGCATCAAGCACAGAATGATCCCTGGAAATGATTATTAGGATTTAGGAATTAATAACAATTAATTGCCAAATATGCTGAGTTGGGAGGGATGAAGATTTGAAATCCAGGAGGAAGGTTTGAAATTCAGGAGGAGGGTTTGAAATCCAGGATTGAGGATTGAAATCCAAGATGAAGGTCTGAATTTGAGGATGAAGGTTTGAAATCCAGAAGGAAGGTCTGAAATCCAGAATGAGGGTTTGAAATCCAGGATTGAGATTTGAAATCCAAGATGAGGGTCTGAATTTGAGGATGAAGGTTTGAAATCCAGGAAGAAGCTTTGAAATCCAGGATTGAGGTTTGAAATCCAGGAAAAAGGTTTGAAATCCAGGCTGAGGGTTTGAAATCCAGGAGGAAGGTTTGAAATCCAGGATTGAGATTTGAAATCCAAGATGAAGGTCTGAGTTTGAGGATGAAGGTTTGAAATCCAGGATGGAGGTTTGAAATCCAGGATGAAGGTTTGAAATCCAGGATGGAGGTTTGAAATTCAGGATTGAGGTTTGAAATCCAGGCTGAGGGTTTGAATTTGATGATAAAGTTTGAAATCCAGGATGAAGGATTGAAATCCAGGATGAAGGATTGAAATCCAGGATGAAGGATTGAAATCCAGGATGAGGGTCTGAATTTGAGGATGAAGGGTTGAAATCCAGGATGAAGGTTTGGAATCCAGAGTGAAGGGTTGAAATCCAGGATGAGGATCTGAATTTGAAGATGAAGGGTTGAAATCCAGGATGAAGATTTGAACTCCAGGATGAAGGTTTGGAATCCAGAATGAAGGGTTGAAATCCAGGATGAGGATCTGAGTTTGAGGATGAAGGTTTGAAATCAAGGATGAAGGGTTGAAATCCATGAGGAAGATTTGAAATCCAGGATGGAGGTTTGAAATTCAGGATGGAGGTTTGAAATCCAGGATGGAGGTTTGAAATCCAGGCTGAGGTTTTGAAATCCAGGAAGAAGGTTTGAAATCCAAGATGAGAGTCTGATTTGGAGGATGGAGGTTTGAAATCCAGGATGAAGGGTTGAAATCCAGGACTGAGGTTTGAAATCCAGGCTGAGGGTTTGAAATCCAGGCTGAAGGTTTGAAATCCAGGATTGAGGGTTTGAAATCCAGGTTGAGGGTTTGAAATCCAGGTTGAGGGTTTGAAATTCAGGATGGAAGGTTTGAAATCCAGGATTGAGGGTTTGAAATCCGGGACAAACGTGATCTGTCCCAGAAACAAAAGATGCCTTTGGCCTGGCAAACAACTTTTTCCATGGGCAGAAATATTGACAGGACAAGGGGAAGGGTTTTGGTCTCAAAGAGGGGAGATTTAGGTTGGATTTTAGGGGGAAATCAGGATATCCACACAGGATACACGAGGAACTCCAGGGAATTCCAAGGATTTCTGTGTTCAGTAAAGCTGGGAATGAAATAACTGCTCAAATTGAGCTCAAATAAGAAGTTGTTTAGGGTTGGTTCACAGTGGGGTTTAGGGGTAATTAATCTAAGCCCTGAAAAATCAAATGGGGCAGTTGAGGTAAAGGAATCCTGGGAAAAAAAACCCTACAGATTTTCCAGGAGGGAACTGGGGCTTAAAATCCCCAATTTTTGTCATTTTGGCAACAGGCTTGGCTGAAAAAAAGAATAAATAAAAATAATTGTAAAAATTCTGCTCAGAAAGGGAAATGTTGAAAATATAAGAATATTTCATGTTAAAATGATGCCTATGGATGGATTTGGATTTTTCACTCCAAGCCAGGAATTAATTAATTGAGGATTAAAAACAACACAGCTTTTAGAGTGCTGAATAAGTAGAAAAGTATCAATGGGGGACACAAGATTTTTAATTTTTAAATTGAATTTAATTTTTAATTGAATTTAATTTTTAATTTAATTTTTTACTTTAAATTTAATTTTTAATTTAATTTTTAGTTTAATTTTTAATGATTCTCCAGATTTCATTCTTGATGTGTTTACTTGTTTGTTTAATTGGGAATAGCACTGGGGAAAAAAAAATAAGATTCGCTTTCCTTTTGGCTTCTGGATGAAAAGAAATCCATGTTTCCCCCTTTTGCTCTAATCCAGGTGGATCAAGGAGACAGGGATGAAATTCCAGCCAGTATCTTTATTCCATCCCAAACTCCAGGAAGTTTCTGCTGGTGGATTTTGTCTCTCATGTTCCTCCATCCAAGGACTTGTTTGCTCACTCCCAGCATTCCCAGCCCTTCAAGTTCTCCTGACACACCCATGAACTCCATGGAATTCCCAGCTGCTGGATTCATGCACTGAGGGTGTTTCAGGCGTGGTTTTGGCAGCAGAAACAACAAAACCAGTGCAAAAATAATAACAATAATAATAATAATGTGAGATCCTCATGTCACAGACACCACCTGTGCCAATAAGAGAAGAAGTGAAGTGTTGGAGACACCAACTCCAGAGATCCCAGCCCTTGGATGGGGACCCTGCCCCTCGTGGGGGGGCCACCTGCACCTCTGGATGAGGGCAGGGGTTGTTTGGGGTGAAATACGGGCTGAGATTGAGACAGGATTGCTCCAGGTGGGAATTTGAGCAGTGGTGCTTTGTGTTTGGAGAGCAGGGACTTCTCCTCCCCCTGAGCTGCACCTGCTGTGCTGCCCAAACCTCTCTGCCAAGGGATCAGAACAACCCAACCAGGCTTTGATCTGCGTGGGAATTCTGACAGCTCAGTCCCACCCTGAGCAGACTCAAGATCCAATCAGTTATTAATTAAACCCATCATGCAGGACCAGCTCCTGGAGCCAGAGTGATGTCTGGGTGTTACCTCTGCTGAAACCATCCTGGGTCATCCCACCCTGAACACACCCCCTGCTTTTGGGAGGTTTATTTTGTATCAAAGAAATGATTCATCTCGTATAAACATTCTCCTTCCGCCACCATTAAAACCTGTGGGACAAAGTGCTTTAATAGCTCTGCAATTCCTTTAAATTTAAGCTGCTGACACGGCCCTGGGGCTAAAAGATGGGATTCAGCTTTCCCTGAGCAGGAGTTTGGAAAGCCAGGGAGTTCCTTCCTGCCCCTCCAGGCTCCCCAGCAAGGCTTTGTGAGCTTTGTATCCTGGTATTCCAATATTTCCCTGATTATCCTTCCTCCTCCTCCAAGCTCTGAGTTATTTTATCCCTCCTCCTGCTCAAAAGGACTGTTCCATATTCAGACTCTTTGGCATCTCCTAACAAACTGCACCAGCTTCCAACCTCTCCTTTTCCCAGAGGGTTTCTCTCCTTACAGTTGGAATTCTTATCCCCCAGAAAATGATCCCTCTTCACCCCTGTCCTTTTCCACGCTTCCCCACTTCCCTTTGCCTGTCCTTCTTGGAATGGGAAGCAATCCTTGTGGAGAAAAGAGGTATTTTAGCAAACACTGTGTTTGCTTTGTTGTTTTTTTTTTTTTCCTTTTACATCTTTTCTGGTTTATCTTCCTAGGGTGAAAATGTGTGAACGGGGTTCTGTTTGGTCCTAATTCCAGTTTTTCTCTAAAGATAAGAATATTCCTGGGATAAATGAGATTTTTTTTTACAACTGATTCAGTTTCTTTTCTCTCTTCCATGCCATAAACACAAAGAGAAATTTGTTTTTGCGGGGGGGGAAAAAAAGGGAAGCAGATGTTCAAATGACAAATTCATTTTTTTATTACTTTAACCACGAAAAAATGATTCCCTTTCTCACTCAGTTTTGCACTGCTGTTCACATCCTGTATCCCAAACAATTCCCAGGTGTTCATTGCTCAGATTCCAGTTCCTTCAGCTTCCTGAGTGTCTCAAAGCTCCACAGGGATCACCCTCTTCCCAGCAGGAAACAAGGCCAACCAACCAACCAAAACATCTTCAGGGCTCCAAAAAAATCTCCTTCTGTGGCTCTGAGGTGGGAATCTGGGCTGGGAAATGAGGAGACATTCCAGGCCATGGAATTCTGAGGGAATCTGGGTGCTTCTCATCCTAGAAAATGAAGTTGTTGGAGGGAAAAATGAAGTATTGGAGGGAAAAGGAAGGACCAGCAATCCCACCAGAGATCAACCTCAACCATCCTCTGGGGTCTGGCCTGGGTTTATGGGACACAAGACCTGACAAAACACAACAGGAGTGTCCCAACCTGTCCCAACATCTCCCAACCTGTCCCAACATCTCCCAACCTCTCCCAACCTGTCCCAACCTGTCCCAACCTGTCCCAACCCCCCAGTCTTTGACCACTGATGGACAAAACACGGGGAGCAGTGGCATGAGAGGCATTGCCAGACGTGAATCCAGGAGAAAGGCTCAGCTTTCCAGGAAAAAAAAGCCAATTCTTCGGCTACTTGAGAGTTTTTCCCACTTTTTCTTTGCCTGTCTTCGGTCTCCCAGCAGCAACATTGGAGCTCAGGGATTTCTCTTGGATGACACCAGGATTTCAGGCAGGATTTAGTTCCTCAACCACAAGGATCTGGTTAAATCTGAGATCCTCATAAGCTCCTAAACCAAAAGGATCTTGGGCAATTTGAGATCCTCATCAGCTCCTAAACCACAAGGATTTGATGCAACCTGAGATCCTCATCAGTTCCTAATCCATAAGAATCTGGTCCAATCTGAGATCCTCATCAGTTCCTAAACCACAAGGATTTGATGCAACTTGAGATCCTCATGAGTTCCTAAACCAGAAGGATCTGGTGCAATTTGAGCCCCACCCCCCAAAGGCATTCAGGACATTCCCATGTGGATTGGAAATGCTTTGTCCTTCTCACTCTTGGCACCAGGACTAACTCCATCCCCATCCCTTCCTGGGATGAGGTGAATCTCTGGGAATCCTCCACCCCATTTTAGGGCTGGGAACAGGTGTGGACACCAACTTAGGGGCACCTTGTAGCTCCCAAAGCTGAGGAAAAGGTGTCAGCAAGGCTTTGTTTGTTGCTGATCGCTGGGAATTCGACTTCTCCAGTTTTCCTCTAAAGATTGGGAATATTCCCTGCACTCATGAGATTGATACAGTGGGTTCAGCCTCAGCCCAGGTTGCTCCAACCTGGCCTGGGACACTTCCAGGGGCATCCAGCAGCTTCTCTGGGCAACCTGTTCCTGAAGAACATTGACAGGGGGGTGGAAAATTAGGGGAGAGCCACTAATTGGAGATGGAATTGATTCCTCTGGGTTGTAAACAGTGTGTAGCACCTGGAGACAAGGGAAGTGGAGAGGCTGGACCTGAGAAAAATCAGTATAAAATATTATAGATGTCTAAAACAGTCACAATCATACCCTGGTTTTCTGGGAGTCAGTCAGGAGCTCTCAGCTCCCACTCCAAAACAATCCCAAGCTGCAGCTCCCGGCCCTGTGCCAGCATTCCAGCTTTTTCCAGGCTCACTTGGCTTCTCCAGGGGCTGACACGTTGCTTGAGGTGACCAGAAAGACTTTTGGCATCATCAGAGTGGGAATTTGCCGTGGCAGTGGGTTTGGATTGAGGATTGAAAATATTCCTGAACAACATGGAAAGCTCGTTGCTGCTTTTGGGATTGCCCTTCATGGATGTGGGATTGACCCCTATGGATGTGGGATTGATCCCTATGGATGTGGGATTGCCCTGCATGGATGTGGGATTGATCCCTATGGATGTGGGACTGCCCACCATGGATGTGGAATTGACCCCTATGGATGTGGGATTGATCCCTATGGCTGTGGGATTGACCCCTATGGATGTGGGATTGCCCACCATGGATGTGGGATTGCCCCCTATGGATGTGGGACTGCCCACCATGGATGTGGATTGACCCCTATGGATGTGGGATTGATCCCTATGGATGTGGGATTGCCCTGCATGGATGTGGGATTGATCCCTATGGATGTGGGATTGCCCACCATGGATGTGGGATTGCCCACCATGGATGTGGGATTGCCCACCATGGATGTGGGATTGTCCAGTCCAGATCTTTGGAACAGAAAACTGGGAACCAGGCTTGGAAAACTCTGACCCAAGGTCAGAGATAAATGTCTTTTTAAGAAAGCAAAATGGATCATAATAAGGAAAAAACAAACCCAAAAAACCAACAAACAACAAACAAAAACAAACCCCAAAACCCCAAGTTCTCTTTTTTTAGCTTGTTTATGTTTGGGTTCAATCATTTCTTGGAACCAAAGTGCCCAAAAAGCTGGATGTGACTCCCACTCGACTCCCTCCCGGGGGGGCCAAGGAAGATAATCACAATTTCCACCCCCAACTCCACAAGAGCCAGGTCTGGGTGGGCTGGGAAAAGTCAGGTCTGAACCCAAACCAAATCAAACCAACTGCTGACAGAGGGGAAAAGAATCCAGTGGAGCAGATGGAACCCAGCCCAACCAAATCCAGGGGCAGGGATTTGGAATTCCATGTGGAAAAAAACAAAACCCCATCCTTCAAGGATTCCAACGGAATCCTAAAGGAAACGATGTTGTGGGGAAAGCAGAGGGAGGCAGGGAAGACTCACCTGGGATTCAGTTGGCCATGATGTGTTTCACAAAAGCTGGGGAAAAAAAAAAAAAAGAGGAAAAGAAGGGTCATTTTTATGTTTAAAAATGGAATTTTTGTATTATAGTTGTATATATATATGTAATTATATTTATTTTATGTGGTTATAGGTAATTTTGAATTTCGAAAGCAAAGAAACAAGAGGGTTTGATGCAAGGAAATGTTTTTCCTTCTGAATGATTCCCTCATTGTGTGAATTCCATTAATTTATTGAATCGTGGGATTTGGAAATAGAAGGAGACCACGGACCCAACTCTTCATTAAATGTGTAAATATTGATTATTGTCAACATGACAGAGCAGTTAAACCCCCAGGATGACACAACTGTCACCTGTTACCCTTAAAAAAGGACTTCAAAAATGAGTGTTCACCATCCCTCCTGGAATATTTTGGGATTTCCAAGCAGCCTGGAGCACCTAAAGGTGCAAGATTCCACCTTCAGAAGGACCAGCTCCTTTCATTCTGCTTTTCTACAGCAGCAGTGAAATGAAATGGAGGGATTTGGGAAGGTCTGGAAGGGTTCTTGGGACAACAAAGAGGATGCAAAATTTAATTTTTTATTTTTTATTTTATTTTATTTTATTTTTTCTGAGATTTTGCAGGAAAATTTAGGGATTTTCGTGGAATGCCAGAGTGGTTTGGGTTGGGAGGGACCTTAAAGATCATCTCCTTCCAAATATGGGTATATTTTTATCTTCCATATTTTCTGTAAGTGTCAAAAGGGATGTCAATCCCTTTTTTCAGAGGACAAGGAATTGTGGGATCAGGTAGAAAAAACAACGTTAAACTTTAAAAAAATAGGCAACTAAATTTTAAAATAAATATTAATATCTATACTAATATATATTATGTATAAATAATTTCTCTATATTAATATATATTAATATAGATATATATAGATATATATTAATATATATATAAATAATGTCTATATATGTTATGTAATATAAATATTTTTAATTATATAAATTATATCACTATATAAAAATAATTTTACAATTATATATAATAATAATAAAATAAATATCTAGACAATAAAAATTCTATTATTTAAAATAATGATATACATTTAATAATTAATATAAATTTATATATTTAAAATAATTATATAAATTATATCATTACATAAAAATATTTTAATTATATATAATAATATAAATAGACAATAAAAATTCTATTATTTAAAATAATATAAAAATTATAAAAATGAAATAAAATTATAATTTACAGCCCCCTCCTCAGAAAGGACCGTTATGGAAAATGGAATTAATCTTTAATAAATAGAGTTTCTAGAGTGTGAATTGGTGTAAAATCAGGCCCAGCCCGTGGATTTGAACTCGCTCAGGGTAATTTGAATAAAATCTTCCCTCCCTGGGGGTTTCGGACCCACCTTCGTAGTTGATGCAGCCGTTGGCATCTTCCTGCCCTGCCATCAGTTTATCGACCTCCTCCTCCGTCAGCCGCTCCCCTGCACGAGCAACAGCCCCGTCAGCGCCTGGGATGATCCTGGGAATGCCGGAATTCCCGGAGGACACCGGCACAGAGCACGGGGAGCACACAGAGCACACACAGCACAGAGCACAGAGCACAGAGCAGAGAGGGGATTTTCTCCTCTGTGTCGTTTGAAAAAAAAAGCGCTTTTCGTGCTTGAAAGGTGAGGGAATTCCATCCCCCCCAAAAAAGCAGGAGTGAAATAAAGTAATGAAGGGAAATGAACTGAAAGAAAGTTAAATTTTAATAATAATAATAATAATAATAATAATAATAATAATAATAATAATAAATTAATTAATATAAAATAAAAATAAGGGAAGGGAAGGCAAGGCAATCATAAAATAAAATAAATTAAATTAAATTAAATTAAATTAAATTAATAAATAAAATAATAAAATAAAATAAAATGAAAAATAAATAAAAATAAAAATAAAATCAAATTAAATAAAAATAAATAAATAAATAAATAAATACAATAATAAAATAAAATGAAAAATAAAATAAAATAAAATGAAATTAAAAAATTAAAATAAAATAAAATAATAAAATAAAACAAATAAAAAATAAAATAAATAATAAAATAAAATAATAAAATAAAATAAATAAAAAATTAAATAAATAAATAAATAATAAAATAAAATAAAATAAAATAAAATAAAATAAAATAAAATAAAATAAAGGAAGGAAGGGAGGGGAGGAAGGAAGGGAGGGAGGAAGGAAGGGATCCAAAAAAAAGTGAAAAAAATGTAAAAATTAAATTAAAGGAAATAAAAAAAAATAAAATAAAATAATGAAATTAAATGAAATAATGAGATAAAATAAAATAAAACTAAAAAAAGTAGATTAAATAAAAACAAAGTAAAATAGAGTAAAACAAAATAAAGTGGATTAAAACAGAATGAAATAAAATAAAATAAAGTAAAATAAAGTAAAATAAAATAAAATAAAATAAAATAAAATAAATAAAATAGAATAAAATAAAATAAAATAAAATAAAATAAAATAAATAAAATAGAATAAAATAAAATAAAATAAAATAAAATAAAATAAATAAAATAAAATAGAAAAAAGGAAAAAAGGAAGGAAGGGAAGGAAGGAAGGGAGGAAGGAAGGGATCAAAAAAAAGTGAAAAAAATTAAAAATTAAATTAAAGGAAATAAAATAAAATAAAATAAAATAATGAAATTAAATGAAATAATGAGATAAAATAAAACAAAACTTTAAAAATTAGATTAAATAAAAATAAAGTAAAATAGAGTAAAATTAAATTGAGTAAAATAAAATAATAAAATAAATAAGATTAAAAAATAAATAAAATAAAATGAATTAAAATAGAAACTAAAATATAATAAATAAAGTAAAAATAAAATAAAACAAAATAAAAATAAAATAAATAGAATAATATAAAATAAAACATAAAATAGATAACCCAAACACTACCCAGGGTGGCCAGGACGTGGCGCAGCTCGGCCCCCATGACTGTCCCGTTGCCCTCCTTGTCGAAGACCCGCAGCCCCTCCACGAAGTCCTCGTAGGTGCCGGTGTCCTTGGTCTTGGCGATGTGCTGCAGCATGGGCAGGAAGGTCTCGAAGTCAATCATCTTGGAGTTCATCTCTGCAACCACAGGGGGAGAGCAAAGGCACCCTGGAGTCTGGGAGGGCTCAGGATTCACCAGGGGACACCCACCAAGGGACAGCACCCATGGGACATCACTATGGAATATCCACTATGGAATATCCACCATGGAATATCCACCAAGGGACATCATCCATGGGACATCCACTATGGAATATCCACCATGGAATATCCACCAAGGGACACCCCCCAAGGGACGTCATCCATGGGACATCCACTATGGAATATCACATGATTTTACTATGGGACACTCCACCAGGGACACCACATGGCTCTGCAGGCATCCACTATGAAACATCCACTATGGAACATCCACTTTGATATCCACCATGGGACACTCACCACGGGATATCCACCAAGGGATATCCACCATGGGACATCCACTATGGAATATCCACCAAGGGACACCCACCATGGGACACCCACCAAGGGACATCACCCATGGGACACCCACTATGGGACATCCACCATGAGACACTCACAATGGAACACCCACCATGGGTACAAGAACTGTCCCAAAAATTTCTGGGAGAGAAGAGCATAGCAACAGGGAGGTGTTTCTGCAAACATCCCACACCTTCTCACACATCTTCAGCAGAACAATCCCTGCCCTCACAATCAGTCTATCCCTCTGTTTCTCTGGATGGTTTTGGAATATCCCTGGTTTTTTTTAGTCAACACACACAAATTCCTGCCATCAAAGCAACTTTAAAAGGGGAAAAAATTCTCAGTGTAAAACACATCGATGCACAGGGCTAAATTAAACCCTTCTCCTCAGTTTGGGACAATTTTAGTGACTGCAAGGCCACTTCTCTCCTCATTTGTTTTCTGTTTTGCAGCCCTTGTTGTTCCAAAATTAATGTCTCCATCAGAAAATGGAGATGTCACCAGTTCACGGGTAATTCTTGGAGTGACCTTCTCCAAAACACACACACACACACAAAGGGAGGGCACCAACCTTCTGGTTTGGGTCTGCCCAGCAGCTTCATGACCTCAGCCTGGGTTGGGTTCTGCCCCAGAGCTCTCAGGACGTCCCCACACTGGGCATAAGTGATTTTCATCTCCGATTTCGGGGTCCGGTCGAAGAGGGAAAACGCTTCCTTAAATTCTGGGAGGAGAAAAAAAGATGAGGAGAAATTCATTCCACGCTCCCCCAAAGCCAGATCCGCCTGAGCCTTTCATTTGGGAGTCTGGGAACGACCTTGGTGAGCTCTGTGGCCTCTGTTATCTGCAATGTTTGTGTTCCTCCTCCGCTGCGTTTTCCGGTTCCACCAGGGATGGGATCGGAGAGGTCACATTTTTTTACCTCGTGGAATTTCCTCCTCAAAGAACCGAAAACAGGGCGGGAATGGTTGGCCTTGAGAGCCTTCCAGCTCCTCAGGAACACTCAGGAAGGCCCAGGATTCGGGAGTAATTCTGCTCCTGGGATAACTGGGTGTCGTGTTAAACGTGAGGCACTCAGGGAGCAACAGCCCCTGGAGCTGAAGGAGCATCTCCATCAGCAGGGAACAAGATGTGCCATGATGAGATACTGGAATTAGGAGCAAGATATGCCATGATGAGGTACAGGAATTACCACCCACCAAGCAGTTGGTGGGGGAGGGTGAAGGTAAGATGGAAAACCTTATCCCAGAATCTGTCAAGTTGGGAGGGACCATTCTGGGTGATCTGGTCCCAGCAGGGCCACCCCAGAGCACATGGCCCAGGATTGTGTCCAGATGGGTCTGGAATATCCCCAGGGCTGAGCAGAGGGACAGGATCCAGGGAACAGGGTCTGGTGTTCCATCAGCTACTGCCAGCAGGCCAGGTCTCCTGTGTGGAGATGGAATCATTCCCTCCAGAGGTTTCTCATCTGTTCCCTGTCCCCTGGGCCCCCTGCAGAGCCCTGTCCCTTGCAAGGCAGACAGATCCTCTCCATAACATCCTTGGGAACATCCTCATGTCTTCTCTTCTGGCCCTAAATTGAGGCCTAAATTACCACAGCAGTATCCTGGTAAGAACATTCCCACAGGAGATGATTCCTGTTCTGCCCCCAGTTACCTGCAGATGTGGGGACATGGCTTAGTGCTGGACTTGGTAGTGGTGGGCTGATGGTTGGGCTTGATGATCTTCCAGGTCTTTTCCAACCTAAATGATCCTGTGATTCTAATGGGGTCAGAGCAGGAGCCCAGGACACTTCCCTGGACACAGCAGTTCCTCAGGTCCCCTCTCTCTGCTGGAGCTGGAACACCTCAGAGGGCAATAATGGGCTGTTACCCTTTGCTACCATCCTTTATCCTTCAACTCTACTGTTATCCTTTACTTCAGAGCACCCCATCCACAAATATCCCTCTGGCTTTAAATCCTGAATCCCTGAATCCCACCCTCGTCCCACTCTTGCCCTCCTGCACACATTCCCCTCCCACTTTCCACACACAGTGAGTTTATCCCCCTTTTCCCAAGGTCCTGACCCGTTCAGCCACTCAGCCCTTCCCTCTGCACACCAGGTTTTCTCCACCTTTCCCTTCTCAATTCCTTCTCCTTCTCCCACCTCCCCCTTTTTTTCTCCCCTCTCTTCTCCTTTGCTTCTTTCCCTCTGTTCCTCCTTCAGGGTTTGTTTCTCCTCCTTTCTCCCTCCTTTTTAATTTTTACCATTCCACTCACATCTTACTCATCTCCTACTTCATCCAACGCTTTCAAACAACATTTTCTCACTTGGGACTGATTCCCATTCCCCTCGTTTTTTTCTTTGCATCCCCCTCTTCCTCCTTCCCTCCTGGCTCTCTGCTCGTGTCCCCGGTCCCTTGGCCAGCCCCTCATTCCAGCAGAGGGCATCCTTGGATTTTCCCGGGCTCCTTGCTGGCAGTGCAAGGGGCTCAGAGACCCTGTCCCAGCTCTGGCCTGTCCTGGTGGTCTCAGCTCCTGAGGTGGAGGAGAAACCCACCCATCCACCCCCCTGAGCTGCTCATCCACCCACCACTCACCTCCTGCCTGGCACCAACCTCCTGAGCAACTCCCAGAGCTTCCCAACCCACCCCAGTTACTGCCAGCTCTCATTGCCAATTTTTTTCCCCCTTTCTATTTCTGTTTTTTGGTTTCATTTGCATTTGCTGACTGGATGCAAATCCCCATCAAAGCACCCAGGCCAGGCTGGCCACGCTGTCCTTTGCCCTCCTGCAAGCCATGAAACCACTGGCAGGAGCAACCTGTATTTTCAGATGTCTAATTACTGCCTCTCTGCTCATCTTGAATAGCTCCCATTCTTCCCCTTCCAGCAGTTTGAGGGGCTGAAGAGGCCAGAAATGCAGTTTTATAAACACATCCTGCCACAAAGGGCTGGGTCTCACAGCTGGGGGAGGCAGCAGGGCACGGAAAGGTGGGTGTGTGGCTTCACCCACAGACCATTCTGCCCCTGAGAGCAGCATTTTGGGGGCCCAACACGACAATGAAACCTTTCAGGGCCTCCTTGGCACATCAAAGTCTTTTCCTTAGCAAAGAGAAGGGCTTTGGAACGTTCTAGAAGGGTTGGAAAAGACCTTGAGGTGCTGCAGCCTCTGTTTCTCCTCCACCAGCTCGATTCAGAATCAGCTGCCAGGAACCAGTTGGGTCAATGGTGAAGATCAGGGATACCCAAGAGAGGGTGGAATTCCCATTGCTCTGGGACCAGCTGAAAAATTGGGAAACATCCAACCTCCCTGAGACACCTGAGTACTCATCAGGTCAACAGAGAGAGAAGGAGAGGTGACTATTATACATTATTATTATATATATTATAAATCATTGTAGGTATTATTATCCATCTACTGATTTAATATAAACCCCCACATTTAAAGGTGTGACAGGGGAGCTGGAGCTCCTGAAAGAGGAAAGCTGACAAAATTAACAGTGCAAAGTGGAGCTGGAAAATGAGCCCAGAATCAAACAGGTGCAGCTGAAACCCAGGAAAATGAGAGAGCTGGGAATGGTGGAAACTTGAGGGAGCAAGGAGAGAATGGGAAGGAGAGAACAAATCAATCCCACTCTCCTGTGAGTCCCAACTTTCCAGTGGTGCCAGTGATGGCAAGTGGTCCTGGCCTTCCAAAGTGGACACAAAATAAAACCACTCCAAGCACTGGAATGGGATCCTCAGTTCTCTCTCACTGCTGACGCTCCTTGGCAAGGTCTTGACCTGCACAAAAGAGCCCAGAGGGGCAGGGAATTCCAGCCCTGGAGCAGCTCAGCTTCACCTGGGAGGAAATCTCTACTTGGCAACTCTCGGGGTGTCTGGGGACCCCTCTGGGGGCCAAAAAAAACCCCTGAGGAACAGGGAAAAAGGAAAAAGAAGCAGAGAAGGGGAGGAGGAAAAGAGCTGAGGAGCTGGGGACAAGCAGGGCTTTCCTGCTCCCTCCCCAGGTGATGTCCAGGCTGTTGGACACTCGTGGAAGAACCTCTGGACCGACTGTGGGGTTAAGCTGGAGTGGATTTGGGGTTCCCCCCCAGTGCCAGCACACACAGGGGGACTCTGAGACGCTGCTGGAGCTGCTGGGGAGGTCTCAGAACCCTCCTCACACACGTTATCTGCTTCCTGCCCCTTGGCTTCCCCTTTGGTGTTTCAAGGCCATCCTACTTCCCAGTCCTGCATTCCCAGATTTCCCAGTCCTACATTCCCAGATTTCCCCAGAACAAAAGTCAGCTGCAAAAGGAAAAAGAAAACGAGAAAGAAGGCACAGCTTTTCATTTCTAGAGATGTCCTGCATCTGCTCTGGAATCCTGGAGTCATTCAGGCTGGAAAATCCCAGTCCAACCATTAAACCAGCACTAAAAAGCCACCAGTAACCCACGTCCCCCAGGGCCACATCTCCAGGGGTTTTGAGACCTGCTCTCTTTTTGACAACCCTGGATTCCCTCCAAATTTGCCCTTTCCCAGCCATCCCAAGTGCTGGTGGCCGGACAAGCATCCCAGTTTTTCTGCAGGGCTCTTTTCCCGTTCTCTGATAGAATCCCTGGAGCTCGTCCTGCTCAGGGAGATGGAAAACAAGGCCCAAAAATTGGGAGTGTGTCCTTTCCAATCGCCCCCAAACTTTAGCTGAGGAGACATCCAGATGTTTTGTGCTGCTGGAATCACCCCAAGGGTTTGGAGCTCAGGATTGGGCCTTTCCTATGGTTCTCCCTGGACTCTGGGACTTGAAAAGGGGCAAATTCCCAGAAATTAAAAGCTGGGTCTAATCTGAAGTCACTTTTGAGCTGTTGGTAGAAAATAGAAACTAAAGCCATTAAAGGAGGGGCTTGAAAATCCATAATGTTGGAAGTTTGTGGCAAAACCTCAATCTCCAGGATATTATGGCATTTTCCAGTACAGCAAATCCTTCCTTCTGTATCTCTCCTCCCTGATTTATTTATTTTTTCCTGTTCCAATTAGCCCCTTTTCTGATACCATCTTTTGCAGGCTCTCCCGAGCCCTGCCAAGTGTTTTAAACAGCAAAGCAAAGCTCTCCCAGATGTTTGATTCCATCCATCAATTATCCTGGAAGTGAAAAAAAAAAAAAAAAAAAAAAAAAAAGCAGGCTGGTAGTTGAGGGAAAAAGGGGACAGCTGCAGGCACAGCGTTCCCAGATTTCGGGCCTGAGGTTTTGGGATCATTTTTCTTGGGCTGGGACAAAGGTTTCAGAAATTAATGCTGATGTTTTGCTTTGAAAGGAGCAAAAAGAGAAGCCGTTTCTGTGATTGTTTGCTGGTTTTGTGTGGAACTGTAACACATTAAATTCTGATTGAACACAGGGAAAAGTTCTCCAGAGAGGGTTGGGTTGGGGCACTTTCTCTTGAAAGGGTTCATGTTTTTTTTTTAGTGTGTTTTGGTTTGTTTGGTTTTTTTTTCTAAAAGTAAAAGCACATATTTGGGCTGAGGTTTTGGGGGTGTAACTGCTCTAAAACAATCCCTGACTTTCTCCCTTTTCTTTTACCAGTTCCACACATGAATTGGAAAGGGGACAGAGCACAGGAAAAGCCAGGAGTGAAAGCACAGCAAGCACAGCCTTCCCAAGGTGGCTCCAGTGTCCCCCCCTCTGCTCATGCCAGGACTTGCCAGCCCCTCCTGGGACAGGATTTGCTGTGCAGAGAAGAGAAACATCTTCCTCACCTTCGATCTGGTCAGGGGTGAACTCCACCTGCAAGACACAAAGAATGACCCCAGGTGAACCCGGGGAAACTGAGGCACAGGGGGAGATGCTGCTTGAGGGTCTGTCTGATGGGGCTGGGGAGGTCCAGGGAAGACACCTTCCACCAGCTCAGAGTGCTCCAACCTGGCCTGGGACACTCCCAGGGATCCAGGGGCAGCCACAGCTTCTCTGGCAAATCCATTCCAGTCCCTGCCCACCCTTCCAGCCAGGAATTCCTTCCCAATATCCCATCTAATCTAAGCCTGCCCTCTTTCAGCTTAAGGCCATTCAGACTGTCAGCCCTCAGCAAATCCACCCCATCCCTCTGCACTTCCAGCTCCTGAAAGATCAGAGAGGAGCTGGAGCTCTTCAAAATGTCCCAGCTCCTGCCCTGCAACTGCCTTGGACAAGAAACAGATTGAGCTGCCAAAGAGTCCCTTGATAAGGGGGGCACAGGGAGAGCTCTGCTTTTGTTTCCCAACACTCACAGGGCTCCCAAAATAATCCCTCTGTAACCCAGAACCACTTTCCCATGGGCCAAAACTTTCCCTGTAGAAAATCAGAGAGTCCCAGAAAGGTTTGGGTTGGAAGGGACCTTAAAGATCATCCAGTGCCAGCCTTGCCACTGGCAGGGACACCTTCCACCAGCCCAGGTTGCTCCAGCCTGGCATGGGACACTTCCAGGGATCCAGGAGCAGCCACAGCTTCTCTGGGAAATCCATTCCAGTCCCTCCTCACCCTCCCAGCCAGGAATTCCTTCCCAATACTCTCCCCAGTATCCATTGCATGGTCTGACAACACCCACATCAAACCCCAAAGCAGGCAGAGAAAGCAGAAGTGAGGGGTGAGTTTATAAACATCCCCCAAGGGATTCAAACCCCCTGTGGATGTGGCACTTGGGGACACGGGGCAGTGGTGGCCTTGGCAGTGCTGGGGGATGGTTGGACTCCATGATCTGAAGGGTCTTTTCCAACCTCAACCAATCTTCGATTCCCAGATGATTTCCTGAGTCCCATCTCCATCCAACCCACAACCTGTGTGGTTCCACTTCCCACAGGGAACACCCAACCACTGCCTTTTTCCATCCTGTCAGCACAAGCTGCAGGGAAAAGTGCACCCAGGCACCTCTGCCTGGCAAAGTTTGGGGGAAACCCAAAGCTTTTATTTCTACCCCCAGCCCTCCTCCAGTTTCTCTCACCAATTTTCCCCCTTCTCCACGTGAAGATCGAGCTGGTTTAGGGCAGGAATAAACCCCCCATCCTCACAGCCCAGCTTTCCAACAATTTGGGAGAAGTTAGCACGTTGTCCAGGGCCTCGTGCATGTTCTGAGCTGGGCATTTAATTTCAATTTAGTAGTTATTGCACGTTACACAAGTGGGGATTAAAACCACATTGGTGGAGGTTTCGCAGCTATGCGAGAAATGCAGATCTCGTTACAGGGCTGCTCCACAGCCAGGGTGTGTTTGTCTGCAATGACTCCCTGCTCTTCCAGGGGCAGATTGGAGAGGGGGGAAAGGCTGGGAATGGCTGGAGGGATGATGGGAAGGCAGCGTGGAGGGGGAATTTCTCCCTTCCCGCCCCGGTGCCCACGCCTGGAACACGAGACAGCCCCGAGGAGAGGTTGTTCCTCATCTGTAAATCAGAGAAACCCCCTCCCACCCACAGGCAGAGGCACCAAACAAGCCCTCTGAGGCCACATCCACACCAGGAGCAGGCAGATGTCTTGGCTGAGCTCTCAGAAGATGAATTCTTAGAAGATAAATTCTCAGAAGATAAATCTCCAAGGCAGGATGTGTTTCTGTGAGGGGTTTCCAGGGCAGGACCTGCTGCAGAGCCCTGAAAACCCCTAAAAATAATCAAACCATGACCTATTTCTCGTTCTCTCATCCCCTCCTTTTCAAAGAGCTGCGAAGGGGCAGGTTTTGGTTGCTGCTGCTGCTGCAAACAAACAGCCCCAGGTTGCACCAGAAGGGGTTTGGGTTGGATATCAGGAGAAATTCCTGTATGGAGAAGGGTTGTCAAGCTTTGGGATGAGCTGCCCAGGGCAGGGGTGGAGCCCCATGCCTGGAAGTGTTCCAAAAACCCATGGATGTGGCCCCTGAGGAGCTGGTTTAGGGGTGAACATGGTGGGGATGGTTGGACTTGAGGATCTTCGAGGTCTTTGCTGCCCTTTGTGAGTCTGGGCAAGTTCCTTCCGTGGCAAAGCAGAAATAATGGAACAAATGAGCACTTCTTGTGCCCTGGTTGGTCTGAGATGAGGACTGTAAAGGGAAAACCAAGCAGGAAAATTAGAATTGTGTGGGAATCACCCTGTGAGGGCAGAGCAGACCCTTCCAATCCACCTCTTTCCATCTGCACAAGTCTTGGCCTTGCACAATTTTAACCAGTTTGGTCCAAATGCCCAGAGAAGCTGTGGCTGCTCCACCCCTGGAAGTGTCCAAGGCCAGGTTGGAGCAACCTGGGCTGGTGGAAGGTGTCCCTGCCCGTGGCAGGAGGTGAAAGGAGATGATCTTTCATCTCCAGCAATCCTGAGCCACCAAAGCCGCACCTTTGCCTTTAAACTGCTCCAAAATCTCCCGATTCTGCCCTGCTGAAATTTGGATTTATTTCAAACTGAAAGACAACATGGGAAGCCTTTACAATCCACAGATTTCCATCTCTCCACCCCTCAGACCAAGGCTTTGTACCTCCCTGTGCCACAGACACACAGAAGTTGTTCCCTGGCAGCTGCACAATGAAGGAGTGGGAGAGAAAACTGCCCCTCCAAAAAATGTTTAAAAAAAACCCCAATATCATCATCTATTTTAGGGACCACTGAGCAATTCCCCAATTTTCGTGGGGAAAAAGCTGTTTTCATTAACTAAGAAAACAGGTTTGGGTTTTGTCTTCTACTTGATGACAGTTTTAGTTGGAAATGAGGGAGAAAAACTCTTCCAGATTGGTCAAAATGTTCTCTTCAGCCCAAACTGAAGGAATTTCGATCGTTAACAATTTTGGGATATTTTTTTTTTTCCTATATAAGAAGGAAAGAACCCTCAAAGATTAATAATTGCTTCAGATCAAAACAATCCAAACAGGGAATTAACTGCAAAAAAGCTGAAACCAGTCATTTTCTTTATCCTCCTCAGATTTTTATTGGAAAACCCTTGGCAAAGTCTTGGGTGCATTTGCAAAACATTCTGGTCCCACCAAAATGCCTTCTGGAAGTTTTCCTCGAGTTTTTTTTTTTTTTGGGAACCATCCCCCAGCTCTGTGAACAAGGGACATACACAAGGATTGACTGGCCTGGAAAATCCAGCTGGAAAATTCCCTGGATTTCCAGTGCTGTCCAGGTTTGGAGCTGGGGGTGAGTGGAACATACCCAGAGGAAGCTTTTGGGTGGGTTTTCATCCATCCCTGCTCAAGGTTTGATTATTTCTGGGCCCTGATCTGCAATTCTTGGGGGTCACTTGGTGATTTGAGTCATCTCATGTCCCCTCTTCCCATGAAATGTTTTACTGGATCATGGAATCATGGAATGGGTTGGGTTGGAAGGGAACTTAAGGATCATCCAGTGCCACCCCTGCCATGGGCAGGGACATCTTCCACTGTCCCAGGTTGCTCCAACCTGGCCTTGGACACTTCCAGGGATCCAGGGGCAGCCACAGCTGCTCTGGGAAATCCATCCCAGTCCCTCCCCACCCTCCCAGCCAGGAATTCCTTCCCAATATCCCATCTAAATCCACTTTTTTTCAACTTAAACCAATAACCTCTGTCCTGTCCCTCCATGCCTTGTCCCCAGTCCCTCTCCAGCTCTCCTGGAGCCCCTTTAGGCCCTGCAAGGGGCTCTCAGGTCTCCCTGGAGCCTTCTCTTCTCCAGGGGAACCCCCCCAGCTCTCCCAGCCTGGCTCCAGAGCAGAGGCTTCATGGGATCAAGGCTATGGATTGTTTCCTAACCCTGAAATTCCCTTTCCACTTCCAGGCACTGATTCATTCCTGTCAGGGAAGCTGCCAAATTCCTGTCAGTCTGGGCCCAGCTGCTCCCAAGGGAGGCCCAGGAGGGAGAAAAGGGCTCTCTGCCCTCTTCAAAGCTGTGCCACCATCCCAGCCTGGCTGGGAACATCCTGTGCCTCCAGACTGACATGGAGTGGGATAAATAAAGGAGAGAAGGAAGGAGCAGAGATGCCTTTGGAAGCACCAGGGCAAATTTAATTCCCCTTATGTCTGGAGTCCACCCAGGAGCACTGAAGCAAATTGTTAATGGGGAATGAGAGGCTTGAGCACCACCTGAATTTTATGAGCAAGGCAAATCCTGGGAAAGCACCAGTGGAAGCTGCAGAGAGCAAAAAGGCTTTGGATTGGGAACAGAGCCCTGACAGGCTGTGGAATGTCCAACCTCTGCACCCCCTGACATGGAGAGAATGGGAGAGAGGGCAGGAGAAACCACTATTCATGAAGGGAAAATATTGTGCCATGGACTTCAGCTGATGGGAATTTGGAGGGGGATCCCTCCCAAAGCATTGTCCTCCCACCAGGACCTGAAATCCTCAGGTCAGGGTTTCCTTAAAAGGCCCACAGGCACTGAATTTGGATTCCCACCAGAACCTCAGATCAGTTTTTCCCTCAATATTCCCACAATACTGAACTTGGATTCCCCCATGAGCTGAAATCCTCAGGTCAGGGTTTCCCAAGGAAGGATCACAGGCTGCTGAATTTGGATCCCCTGCAGCTTCACAGGGATGATGGATGGGGCAAACACAGGATGTTCTTCCAGCCATGGCAAAGATTGCCCAGGTTCAGGCTCCTGTTCCCCTCCGTGGTCAGCCCAGAGCCAGCATTTTGGAGCAGAACCATCCCTTGTTTTAGAGCTTTGCCTCGGGCAGGGCTAAAATCCAACAGCCAACACCTGGATTTTGGAAAAGCCCCCAGGCTGGCAGAAATACAAAGCAGCACCAGAGCCATGCAGTCCTCGAGCACACACATTTAAGAGCCATTTGCTGCTCACTAAATCAAAATTAAATCACAAAAAG